AGGAAGACCAGGAGGAGGAGGAGGAGGAGGAGGAGGAGGAGGAGGAGAAGGATCAGGAGGAGGAAGAGGAGGATCAGGAGGAGGAGGAGGAGGAGGAGGAGGATCAGGAGGAGGAGGAGGAGGAGGATTGTGGTGGTGCTGGTCTTGGTGGTTGTGGTGAGGTGGGGTGGGAGGAAGAAACGTGAGGGACGATGAACAAGGAATCCTGTTGACGGAAGGACTGCAGGACATTGGCGCAATAGTCGACAGCATCAGAGGAAGCGAGTCCTTCAAGAGCGCGATAGTGACAGGGATTCTACATGCGTTAAACGATGAGACGATCAAGACAAGTTTGAAGAGGAGCTTGCAAGGTAGCGAGGAGGAGGCAGAACAGTCAGCGAGTGCTGATCTCGGCTCTCTAGAGGTAAGACGCCTATCGTGTTGATGTCTGTCAATGACGATGTGGGGCAGAAAAGATCAACAAGAGTATCGAAGACTTTGCAGAGTACCAGGCGTTCAGTCAGTCGCAGTTCAGCGAGATTGTGTACAGGTTAAAGTCCATGTCAGACAAGAACGACAATGGTCTAGTTGAAATCCAGCAAAATCGGAAGCCGGAGGATGGAATAGCGGAGAATGATTTCTTGACGGAGGTAACAAAAGAGTTCCGTATCACAATCCTCGATGTTGTTCTATGTTCTCTTGCAAATCATGATGGGAATATCTTGGTGAACTACAGAACACTCTTTAGAGTATAGTTACACTCTTGTGCACCACAACAAGACAGACTCGATATGTAACAACATCTCTTGTTCAGGAGGGGAGTAGCGAGGCGGTAGGAACCACCGACGTCCGTAGCAGTCTTGACGAAGTCCATCAAGCAACAAAGAAACTTTTCGAGCAAGTCGAATTTTTGTCTCAGCACTGGAACGACCTGAGCGGAGCATCACTGTTCAACATCCTGAAGACGACTGTCAAACACGCCTATTTGATTGCGTCGAAGGTGGCGGGTATGAGCCAGGTGTTGCAGCAGATGCAGCTAGATCACCTGAAGAACAACATCACAACGTTGCAACGAGATGTGAAGATGATCGATGTGAGAACAGAACAGATCCGGACGGAAGGAGAGGAGCTCAACAAGGTGTTGATAGAGACAAGGAGGATCTTGGATGGGGTAGATGTTCAAGGGTTGACAATGAGGGTTACATCCATTGAGAACGAACATGCCAGGTGTTTTATGCTTGATTGTTTGAAGAAACCGAGCTGATGTGTTGATGGTGCAAGGTGGGAAGGAACGCTCGGGGAAATTCAGAAACGACTCAATGAAAACTCTCCGTCTACGTTAGCAAAGGAATGTGCTTGTTGGTAAGATGGCATTTCAATGACTTATCGACAATTCCTGCAGGATTCGGAAGAGCTCTCCAGAAAATTCGACACTTTCTCCATTGAGATGGACAAGAAAGTAAGCTATCATGTGATCTGTGTTGGCCTTGATTCACAACTTGGAAACAGATTGCGGATTTGATCAAGAAATCTGAAACATCGCAGCACAAGGTCGTCTGGTGTTTCTGCTGTCTCCTGTCATGAGTCAACAGTGCCATATGTTACGTGCTGTTGACGTTGACAAGTTGTTTGGAAACAGGTGGTAGAAGCGCTGGGAACATATGTTGACAGCCTTGCAAAAGAGGTTGAATATTGCATTCGTTGTGAGATAACGAGATGGTGAGCTTTTTGCAGCTTGAGATGAAAGCTGACAGAGAGGAGATTGAGTTGATGAGGTAAGGTCTATGGAGGTGTTGTGAGAAAGAGAATGACGCTGACAACGCATATGGATTTGACTGCAGTGATGATGGTGATGATGGAGATGATGTTGATGCAGATGATGATGATGATGATGATTTTAGCTAGAATACAATGTTGTTGTTGTTGTTGTTGTTGTTGTTGTTGTTGTTGTTGTTGTTGTTGTTGTTGTTGTTGTTGTTGTTGTTGTTGTTGTTGTTGTTGTTGTTGTTGTTGTTGTTGTTGTTGTTGTGTTGTTGTTGTTGTTGTTGTTGTTGTTGTTGTTGTTGTTGTTGTGTTG